GTTGTTCTTATTATTGTTGTTGTACTATTGTCGTTTATTATTTGTACAATTAACCTCCTTGTGGTTCGACCCCGGTCTTGCCGGGTTATTTATTACTTCAACACTCCTGCACTTGGGAGAAAACATCAACCTTTTAGTTGTGTCATGGAGCAATGGTTGCTCCTTTTCAGGTTAAGTCAGATTTGTTTGATAAGATAAAAGCAGCTTAGAAAAAGGATGATTCACTACTCAGGATCAAAAACGAGGTTGAGCAGGGTAAGGCTGCAGATTTTGTGATAGGTGATGATGATGTACTAAGATATAGAGATAGGCTTTGTGTACCTAACGTAGATGATCTGAGGAGAGAATTGATGGTAAAAACACATTAGATAGTTTACATAATGCATCCAGGTTCCACCAAAATGTATAAAGACCTTAAGGTATGTTATTGGTGGAATAGGATGAAGGCTGATGTAGCAGACTTTGTTTCTAGGTGTTTGACCTGTCAGAAAGTAAAGGGTGAACACTAGAAACCTCTTGGATTGTTGCAACCATTGTTGATTCCAGAATGGAAGTGAGAAAGGATCACAATGGACTTTGTGACAGGATTACCTAGGAGTTAGGAGGGTTATGATTCGATATGGGTGATTGTTGATAGGTTGACAAAATCAGCCCATTTTCTGCCAGCTAAGATTACTTATGGATATGCAAAGTTGGCCAAATTGGTTATTAGTGAGATTTTACGGTTGCATGGAGTGTCAATCTTGATAGTGTTAGATAGAGGTCTACGGTTTACATCGCGGTTTTGGGTGAAATTCCAAGAAGCTATGGGTACTAAAGTGCAGTTGAGTATAGCTTTTCACCCACAAATAGATGGTTAGTCTGAGAGGACTATTCAGATCTTGGAGGATATGTTAAGGGCTTGTGTTATGGATTTTGGAGTTGGTTGGAGTAATTTCCTACCATTAGTGGAATTTGCTTACAACAACAATTATCAGGCTAGCATAGAGATGGCACCTCATGAGGCTTTGTTTGGCCGAAAGTGTAGATCACCGGTTTGTTGGTTTGAGATTGGTGAGAAGAGGCTAATGGGACTAGAGTTGATTCAGATTACCTCAAACAAAATAGAGTAATTAGAAATAAGCTTAAAACAACTTAGAGCAAACAAAAGAGTTACGCAAATAGAAGAAGGCGTGACTTAGAGTTTTCAGTGGGTGATTGTGTGTTTTTAAAAGTATCACCGACAAAGGGAGTATTCAGGTTTGGGAAGAGAGGTAAGTTGAGTCCTCGATTCATTGGACCGTATGAGATTCTGGAGAGAGTTGGGGCAGTTGCTTATAGGTTAGCATTACCACCAAACTTGTCTGTTATCCATCCAGTATTTCATGTTTCCATGTTAAGGAAGTATATGACAGATCCATCACATGTGTTAGAAGTTCATCCTATTGAATTGAGGGATGATATGGTTTATGAGGTGCAACTAGAAGGTATAATTGACCGACAAGTGAGGAAGCTTAGGTCGAAGGATATAGCTTTAGTGAAAGTGAAATAGAGGGGACATTCAAGTGAGGAAGCAACATAGGAGCTCGAGAATAAGATGCGTGAGGAGTATCCTCATCTTTTTGATAATCTCGATAAGTATTTAATCTTTCCTATTAAGTTTTGAGGATGAAACTTTTATAAGGTGGGGAGATTGTGATGTTTTGAATAAATGAGTAGGAAAATACAATAAAACCCTTGGTGGCTTAAAGCGTGGGTATAAATGAATAAGGGGTAGTGTAGTAATTCAACAAAACTTGATAAATTTATAGGCAAGCATCCATGCAAAAGATAAGTGGTAGGACAAGTAGCACCAATTTGATGCCTACAATTTTTGACTAGGGTGTAAAAGAATGGTTTCACCTTCTCCCACCATTATTGACTTAGGTGGTTGGCTTCACATTCTTCCACTTGAAGATTTTGATGATTTAATCAAGTCTTCACACTTGATCATCTATGATTTTTTTATCCTTTTTATATTTGTCATCTTCATGCTGCTTACGTTTCTACTGGGCCATAAGAGGATTTGCACCATATATACTTATCAGTATTGACTGGTTTGGTCAAAGCATCTGCTGGGTTTTTCTTTGTATGAATCTTCTGAAAATCCACACTTCCATCTTCCACCACTTCACGAACAAAGTGATACTGAACATCTATGTATTTTGTTTTTGAATGAAATGCTGGATTCCTTGCAATATGCAAGGCACTTTGACTATCATAATACAAAAGAATATTCTTTTTCTTGTGCCCGAGCTCCTCTATAAGTTTTTTCATCCATATTGCTTTTTTACAAGCTTGTATAGCTGTCATGTACTCAGCTTCTGTTGTGGATAATGCTACCACAGTCTGAAGTTTAGAAACCAAGCTCACAGCTCCTCTTGTAATTATGAACACATAGCCTATAGTGAACTTTCTTTTCTCAAGGTCACTAGTAAAATCTGAATCAACATAACCTTTGATAGTAAATTCTGATCCTACATAGCATAATGCAGCATCTGAGGTACCCTTGATGTATCTCAAGATCCTCTTAATAGTATTT